TTTCCTTTCTAGGCCCATGCTGAGATGTACACATCCACAAGTGAGGATCAAAATGGAGGTCTCTATGGGGGGGGGGCTCTGGGGGCATCACTGCAAACTTAGATTCTGAGGTGGTCTCTTCTCAGAAGAGTTCTGCCATGTTCTTTTTTAAAATGTCAGTCTGGTCCACGTTAGATAAAGCTGATTTGATAAAACTACTCCTGGACTGCATGCTTCAGACCAGAGGGATATTCCATGAATGAACATTTCCTCCATATTGGGAGGGAAGGAAAATCTTGGAAGTTAAGCTGTTAATATGTCCTTTGCAACTACTGGATTTGTCTTCTCTGTTTTCTTTGCTAGCTTGCACTCTTTTGTATGGGTTCATTGGAGTAATAAATGACTGAATGTTCCCTATGGAAAATCACACTTTTTTAGGAAGATGGCTAAGTTCCTTTATCTGGAGTTACCACAAACCAAGAATCAGATTCGCAACACTAAAACGTCCTATTAAACTTGGAGGGCTTGCCCTTCCTGACATCAAGCTATATTATGAAGCAGCAATATTGTCTAATGTGACGCAAATCTTAAACACCAATTTTACACCCGAGTGGGTACAAATTGAAGAACACTTTCTTAAGTCCATGAACTACCATATAGCTATCTGGAATAAGATAAATGAGAACTCTCTTTTAATATCCCAACACCCTTTTATGCATACTTGGAAATTTAAAAGCAAAATTTTGGCCCCCGGGATCTCACTAGCTTTCACATACGTTGAACAATCATGGTTCCCCCCAGCCCAACACAAAAACTCATTCATGCTATGGAAACAGCCCCACATGTTACTCCTTAATGACTTAACCCATAACAAACACTTTATGAGCAAAGCAAAATTGGATCTACTAGCCAAAGCCTCTCTGTCTTGGTTTGAATATTTCCAGCTGCAGAATCTCTTTAGCACTCCCGCACTACAAAAGACTTGCAAGCAACCACATACTGAATTCAAAAAATTTCTATTATTACCAAACAATGTAAGAAAATGGGCAATCTCAAAAATATATTAATCTCTTATAGAACCTGACCCCACCAACTTACCATCCTACGTATCCTCCTGGTCCACAGATCTTGCCGCCGACATCCCTCCTTCCAAATGGAACGTAGTGTGGTCCTCCTACGCTTCGACTTCAAAATCTATTACTATAAACAAAACTTTAAACTGCTAACTAGGTGGTACCTAACCCTGTTAAAATTACATTGGATGAACCCTAAACTATCTCCGATGTGCTGGAAAAACTAGGGCTCTATAGGATCATACATACACTGTTGGTGGGAATGCAAAAGTAAGATCTTTCTGAAAACAAGTTCTTAGTGAAATCATGAAATTCCTGAAAACCCTGACATGATATTATTAAATTACTGGAAAGAAATCCCCATTTCTAAAAGTCGCAAGGAATTGATGATTCCTTGGATACTATCCGCAACAAAAACAACAATAGCGCTCAATTGGAAAAACTCTTCTTCTTTATCACTTAAAACATGGTTCATGAAGGTATGGGATCACCTGCTGATGGACAAAATTTCTGACAAATCATCAAACTCTGATCCTTCCCTCGACCCCCAATCTTTCTTCTCCAGATGATCACCGGTTTTAGAAAAAGCAGACTATATACTGGAAAATGTTCAACAACAATGTAACACTCAATATTACAATTTTATCAAGAGTGGCTGGATTCTTTAACTTCAAAAGGAATGTAAAGCTTCAACAATCTGTTCTTCTGTATAATTAACACATTGTTAGGTAAATGTTTGCTTAAAGTTGTAGTTATTTAATTTTATTGGACTTGTTCATTATTATGTTGTTGTACATTGTTCTTTGTTGTTGCAAAAAATAAATAAAATGTATTTTTTTTTAAAAAAGGAAGATGGCTAAGTTAAAATCGTGTGCAAGTGTGTATTACAGAACATCTTTCTGTCATGTAGCCTCCCATAGTTTGTAATGTTATGCTCTTGGAAGAGATCTGAATCACCGTTTTGAATAGACCAGTTCTAGGTTCTTTGGAGGCGAGTTTGTTAAAAATCATGGCATCCTGAATATGTTTAGCACAGCAGTTCCTAAGTGCTGCAATTTTCTAAGTTTTGAAATTTCTGTAATATTCACTTCTGTCTGTATCTTGGGGCTATTTTGTAGGTTATACAAATATATATATACATTCAGTAGAAAATTGTCCTCTCTAGTTTTATATGATATGTGCAGGGGTGTGTGTGTGTGCATCTTACATTTTAGATGTAAAAGCACTGTGCATTTGAAGTTAAAGCATACATTATAAGAAGCCCTTTACCCTAAAGGATTGCTTTCTGTGGTGTGTTCACAGCTAAACAATAATTGTGAATGTCCGTTTTCATTTTTAGACCTGTGCAGGCTTGCAAAGCATCTTCTAAGGACAAACATTAAATATCATGTTACCTGAGCTGCACAGCTCCCAGGCACCCAAGTATGTTAATTTTTAAAGTTGCGGGCGGGTAGCTAATGGAAACAATAAATAAATGTTCATGATGAACATGTTTTGGTCTTTGAGAGAGACTTTTTCTCGCTTTCTGGGGCCTGAGGCACATTTAATCGACTATTTGATATGCTCCCTAACTGACATTTTAGAACGTTGTGCTTAATTTAGACAGCATAATTTTCTCTTTCTTGCAAAGTACTGCTATGGATTCCTTGGCTATTTGAAGCTGCAAACCCTCAAGGACAGACTATAAAATAATATTTTTTAAGCAAGGAGGAGAAAGTCTTATAAATGGCTCACTTTAAAGAACTTGGGTTTCTTATGTGGGAAGCGAGAGTCTGACATCCATTGGCATATATATGTGACATGCAGGGCTTGGTTTTCTTGGTTTGAGGGCTTAGGTTGTCTGGGTGGCACATTTTCAGTCATTAAAAAGATAAAGCCTAATTCTGCAGACTGTTGAAAGGGCAACCAACACTGTTAGAAATACTTAGAAAGTATAGCTGGGATTTGGGATTCTCAAAAGCAGTCTCCGTTGATGAATCCCACTGTGTCCTTACTCCCATCTCTTGAAATCATGTTGTTCACCATAAATTAGTAGAGAATGGATTGCAGGAGTGCAGAGCAATGAATACATCCTGCATGGTGATATAAAAGGGGAGCGGTGGAACAGAGGATTTATCCTCTGGTTAACATTGTAACATCTGAGCTGAACAGGCTTGCTGTCAGTTCTAGCCCCGCGCTGATGTGAGCTGCCAGCCTTGTCCCCAGATCGCCGTCTACCCAGCGGTTCGAAAGCTTCGGCGAGTAGATTAAATGGGTACCACTCCTTAGAGAAAGTGGGCACACTGAACCCCCCCCCTCGTGGAGTGGAGCGGTGTTAGCCAGCGAACGGAAGTCCAGCTCGCATGATGGAAAGCCTAGAGAGATCTCGGCATGAAGAAAAGCCTTTAATGGGCCGCCCAGCCAGGCGATGGCAGTGTGGCGCTACAACTCAAGGAGTCTGGAGAAAAGCTGATGCCATCAAACTCGGCCGAGGAAAAATGCCGTTCCGGATCACGTCTCACCTGCATCTGAACGGAACCCTCGTTGGCTGTGAATGTGTGCAATTAAGATGTATATATGTTGTCCTCCCTTACCCCACAAAGCATTGTTAGTCCCTCGTGAAAAATGAGTAACTGTAAATCGCTCAGAGCCAGCAAGCTCTTCAGGATTGAGCGATCAATACATTGAAAGATTAAAAAAAAATAATTAGTGAAGGAACAATTTAGCCCTTCTTGTGGCACACTGGTATCTCACATTATGCAGTGGTGATTTCCCAAATAGTATAATGACATAAACCCATTTTTGAGCAGGCAACAGTGTGTGTCGGGGGGGGGGGCATACTTGATTATCCAATTTACAAACATGCCTTCCCTGGTTCTGCTATTTGATATGGTTTGATATGACCATCATTTGTCATTTTCAGTTTTTAGATTAGTAGAAATGCACATAAGAAAATCTTGTGGTGAAGAAAAGGCAGAAAGGTTTCTGGTGTGACCTGGAATCACAATATAATGGTGTTAGTTTTCACAAATGATCTTCGTGTTGAATGACTGCCATATGGTTGGGTATGTGCATACACATGCCTTGCCATTTATAACTTTGTTAAACTTCCCAAACGTTTAAAAGAAACAAACTTTTCCAAAATCACACTGACATTTAAAACTGTAATGAGATATACTTGTACCAGATTAATTTTCAGTATTGACAACTGTGAAGGCTTGAATTACCAAGAAGTTGTCTTTGACTTGATTGTACATCAAGAGTAGCAGAAGTAAATGTACCAACTGAAGTTTCTGAAACCCAAAGTGGATTTGCAATGCTTCAGAAATTCTTCTGTAACTCTGCTATAATATTTAACAAGCACTTGGCACTGTCCTTTAAGCTGGTTTTTCATTACACATATTGCTAGCTTCTATCTCCAGTACTCAGGCAAGTACTGAGTAAAGCACTAGTGGCCAAAAAATATATGCAGAACATACATTTGTGGAAAGGATTGAAAATACATAATGATCATTTAAAATATCTCAAAATAAAACCAATTTACAATCCAAATGACTAATGACGTGTAGTGGAGTGGCTGGTGTGCCTGAACAATATAGTGAGATAAATTTACGAAACATTATGTATTTTGATTAGGATGTGTAACTTGCAGAAATTGTACATATGTATGTCATACTAAAATTGCTGTGTTAGATGTAGTGAGTTGGAGCTCATCTTTCTGTGGATGAAGCAGCCTCACAGATTAATGGGCATGAAATCCACAAAAGAAGATGAAATTTCTCCTGAAATATTGTGTTGATCAATGACATTCTGATTAGTCTCTTGGAAGAATCACTGCTAATATAATGGAAAATGTTATGACTGTCGAATGCCCTATGTGTTTAATATAGACATTTGGACTACACATTTAATTGATAGACTTTAAGAAAATTGAGTGCACTGTACATATTTCTATTTTTTTTGTAACAGCTACAGAGAAGGGGTATTGAAGATTCTTCCTTGGAGTGAACAGAAACACAGGGAAGAAGACTGGTGTGAAAGGCCTCCATGCAAGTAAGTGTACATGACTTTGTGTGTTTGTCTTTACATAGTATGAATTCATTGTAATGTTACCATTGATTAGTTCTGATAAAGTACATTGGTTCTTGTCCAAACAGCTTAAATATATATGCCAGTTCTTGCTCGTGTGTGAGTTTCCCATTTCTCTAATGAGAGGGGAAAGCATAGTACATACTCCTGCTTGTGATATCCTTCCACTGCTCCCCTCATTATGGCTGGTAGAGGTCTGGGTATGGAGGTGCTACTGGCGAGGGGAAGGTCTGACCCAGAAACTGAGATGTCTCCTTTTGTGGATGAAGTTACACTCCCCCTAATGGAACCGGTTCATGTTTTGAGGGTGCTGTTGGACCTGGGCCTCCTGTTGGATAAACAAGTGGCAGCAATGGCCAGGGGCCTTTCACCAGCTTTGGTTGGGCAGAAAAGATCTTGCCGTAGTGGAGCATGTCCTGCTAACAGCTAGATTAGACTACAGCAATGCTGTCTATCTGGGGCTGCCCTTCAAGGCCATCCAGAAGCTTCAGCTGGTACAGAATGCTGGCCCAGAACGCTAACTGGAGTGAATCATAGGGACCATATCTTGTTCCATCTGTATTGGCTTCCAATTTGCTTCTGGGTGCAATTCATGGTGCTGGTATTGACCCTTAAAGCCCTATAGGGCCTGAGGCTAGCATACCTTGAGAACTGCCCACTCCCTTATGAACATGCCCAACCACTCTGGTCATCTTCAGAGGCCCTGCTTCAGTGCTCCTGTCATCTGAATCTAGATGGATGGCAACACAAAAAAAGGGCCTTCTTGGTTGTGGTGCCAAAGCTTTGGAACTTCTTCCCTAAGGGGATTAATCTTTCTCCCTCTATCGTTGTCTCCTGTCAACAGGTGAAGACTTTTTTGTTTCGCTTGTTCCCCTAAATAACTCTTATTAGCCCTGCTCCCTGTTTGTGTGTTCATATGGGTTTGTGTTTTTTAAAATCGTGTTAAATCTTTTATAAATGTTTTGTGTATGTTTGTGTATTAAATGTGTGTTTCATGTTTGAAATGTTTTAATGTTTGCCAGCTTTGGGACTCTTGAGTTAGGTTGAAAGGTTATGTATAAACAGATTAATTAAAAATACGTAAGGAGTAAACTAGTCCTGTGAGTTGACTGTGGGTATGGAAAAGGTGTGTGTTCTGAACAAGGTTGGGTTTTTCCTCCCCTTATAAACAACAGATCTCTTTGGGAGTTCTTGATTTTCTGCTTAAATAGGTAGGCTTGTTTATTCACTTAAGGTGCTGCAATGAAATATGTATATATGTAAACACATATCAATGCAGTGTTAAGATTACTTACTTGGGAATACATGGAATTTCAGTAGGAATAATTAACTTCTAAAAATCTACACACAGAGTGTTAAATAGTTTGTGCTAGTAATAACTATAGTGAACACTGTAGCTTTATACAGATTTATTGTGTTTCATCAGAGCATAGACCTCATGATTCAATTCTAATTTGAAAGAAAGATTGAAAAAAGCTGGATACAATTATGTTCTGGTTTGGGGGGGGGGTTACATAATTTCTGATCAAAAAATTCATTTTGACCGAATCTGTTTGTTCATGTAAGATCTGAATCTTTCATTTTATATGTAGGGGCTTGAGTTCATTCCCTTTTGTTATAAACAGTTGACTTTGCGTGATGTCATTTAAAAATGACATGTTTCTTCACTTAGCAACTTCTTGTCTGCATCTCCCAGGCTGACTGTTGAACCAGTTCTTCAAGATGAGAGTGATTTTTTATATGAATCTCAGCCTGAACTGATGAAATACAAGGCTGCTGAGCTTTCCATAAACCTGGTCACTGATTGGTATTGGGAAAGAGCAGAGGAGATAGAAAACTATTCTATGCAGGTAAATGTAAAATTCTAGAAATGCTCTTATTGGTATGGGTTCACATGCCTTTTTATCATGGATCCTGAAGGATGTGGGGTGTATTTTTGTTGGTTTGTTTAGTGTGTACTATCTAAAAGTACTCTACATTTAACACATAATGTGGTATACATTTGAAATATAATACAGGACTGTATGGTGTGCTGATAGATTTGATACCTTTGCTTCAAAGGGCATGATGCTTACTATAGTTTCAGACCAGCTGTAGGTGGGCTCAGTTTGTCTGAAATACCAGAATATTGAGTTGAAGTGTACAAAATACATTATCAGATTCTTTGTTTTGAACCTTTCTTTTTTATTAAAAATCTTAAAATAGTTGTGAGGAACACTTGCTGGCCATATCCTTTCTTTTTATCATATTAAGGAATAACTGCATTTGTGCTTGGATATATTTTCATAGAAACTAAAGCCATATGAAACCTGTAACTTTTAAAAGGAAGATTTTTGTGCTCACATGGTGGTGGTGCATGCATAGTTGTGCAGGCATCTACTCACACATTCAAGATTTCCGAAGAAGACATGCAAAATATGATTGTATTATGTACTCTTAAAGGTGGAAAAGGGGATGAAGGGGTAATGAAATAACATTACGTTCTTGGATAGGAAATAGAAGAACTAAGGCCCCAGTCACACGGGCAGGAAACTGCAGAGGAGAAGCGTGGCTGTTTGCCCTGGGGCAAACTACTGCGCAGTTACGTGATCAGACCTCCTGTGGAGGTCCTGTGGAGGTACCGTGGAGGTTCCATGGCAAGGGAGAGGTGCCGATCACAGGACAAGTCGGCGCACAACGAAGAAGTGCGCGCCGCGGCAAACTGTTTTGTATTTTTGTGTACATGACAAATGTGCATGCTCCGTTGGGTGCGCATGCGCATCCACAGAGACTTGGACAAAAAAAAAACACCTTATTTGCAAGGGGACATGGGCGGGTGCCGGATGCCACCGGAAACGCGATCAGACGCCCGCCCTTGCCCCGCAGTTTCCGGAAACTAGTACCTCCAAGGTACTAGTTTTTTGCCACGCAGTTTCGGCTGGAAGCCTCGGTTGAGCCACGGGAGTGCTACGCTTCCCAGATGTGCTGGTGAGATCGCGCCCGGAAACTCTGGCTGTTTTCCGTCTCACTTGTGTGGCTTCTGTTACGTGTGACCGCAGCCTAAGTTGCTTTTGAGGTGTAGGAGATGTGTATCATAGTACATTTATTTATTTATTAAAACCTTTCATCATGGTTCAGGGCAGCTTACAATAACAGTTAAAAACATTTCCAGCACCTCCTAAAGATCTCCAAGGAGGATGCCTCCACCTTTTCAGGAAACCCACTCCACGGAGCTAGAGCCAAAATGGGAAAGGCACAGGCTCTGGCTGATGCCAGATGGGGCCACTCTAAGTGATAGGATAGCCAACAGATAGCTGCCTGATGACCATAACTGGTGCACAGGAACATATGGAAAGAGAAGGTCCTTCAAATATGTGGATCTCAAGTTATGAAGGGCTTCAAAGGTCATTACCAGCTCCTCAAATTGAACTTGGAAATAGTCTGTCAGCCAATGGGACAGCCAATGGACCAGTTCTAGTTTCTCAGCTGTTTTCTCTCCCCCCCCATTAATCTATTTATTAGTTTTCAGACAAACAGACATATACATATACACACAGAGAAAATAAAGAGAACATACATGAGTTTGGACACATCGCATTATCCAATTCTAACTTTACGACAATGGTTACACAATTATTACTAAATCTTTCTTTTCTTTTCTTTTTACATTCTCATATCACGTAATTCAAGGGCTTATTATTTTCTCTTAAGAAAAAAGATTACAACTCTTCATACCTACAATGTCATCCTACTTGATTGCATAGTTTACATTTGTTTCCTTTTTGAACTATTTTAACAGCAATAATATGTGATTCATTCCATTTCCTAACAATTGGGAGCAGCAGGTAAAGGGAAAAACCAAAACCAAAGAAAAAAATAGAATACTATTGTCTAAGTTTTCCCTATATCCTGCTGCCCGGTATCTTATATCTTTTTTTTACCGTCTATTGAGCCCTGCCTAACACTTTTCTGATCCTATGACAACCAATACACATTAGAGGGGTTACATCATTGGAACCCTACTACTTATTAGCTTGTTCCAATATATATATATTGTTTTATATATTTATATA